CAGGGAGTGATCATATGATGCAGGTGAGCCTCCTCCTCAAGCTCTGCCTAAGATCCCACCCAGCATCTGAGATGGGTGTGACTTGCCAAGATGTCAATCAATCTGCTGACCGCAAGACATCATGAAGCAAGACTCCACCCTTGAAACCTTATCCGCTGCCTGATTTGAAGAACATTCTATTGAAACTCCTTTGTTAGTATAAAATAAAGAGATTCTGGGATGCACCTTTCTTTCCAGTGTGGAAACTGACCTTAAGGTCACAGAGCCATCCTACCTTCCGTTTGAAAACTACTCTCTATGTCACGTGATTTTCCCCTATTTTCTTAGTTTAAGGGTGCTGCCAGTTTGTCTCATCTACACTGGTCATTGGTGAGAATATAGTTTGAAATCTGTTCTAAAATGAAAACTAAAAAAAGATATATTTAGCCTGGTGCGGTGGTGCATGCCTATAATCCTAGGGGCTCCAGAGGTGGAGGGAAGAGAATCATAAGTTCAAAGCCAGCCTCAGCAACTTAGTGAAACCCTTTCTCAAAATAAAAAAGGCTAGGGATGTGGCTCAGTGGTTGAGCACCCCTAGGTTCAATCCTAGGAACCAATACTAAATACCAGTACCAATACCAATACTAGGTACACACACATATATACAATGTATTAATATATTAATTAAATATTAAATTATATATAAATTAATTAATGTGTGTTTAATGTATATGTGTAATTAATATGTAAATAATAAATAGAAAGTAAATAAMTATATTTAATATATAAATATATGAGTCATATATATAATACCATATATAGTTATAGTTATTTGAAAACAATTACAAACTTCTAAGTAGTTCTTGGGTTGAAAAGSACACTGTTACAGGAGTGAAAATACTTCACTGAAACAGCAGGTTCATGTTAAAATTAGTGGGATACAGATAACATTGTACTTTGAGCTACACTCATTGCTTTAGATATATTTATTAGAAAACAATAAATATGGAAAACAATTCAGATAAGTAAAATGAAATGAGAAAAAATGAGATGAGAAATCAATGAAGTAGAGAGCAACAATCCAGAAGCAATAACAAAAAAGATCAGCAAAACCAAAAGCTGGCTTTTTATTAAAACTGGTTAATAAAAGCAAGGTAGAAATAAGATGCAGAGTAAGGAAGGAGATATGATTTTAGTCACATCAGAAGCATTAACAACAGAATATTGTGAGCTATATACTAATAATTGTGAAAATGTAGACAAAATCAACAAATTTCTGGAAAAAACAACAAAGTCCAAATGGGCAAAATAATTGAATAAACCAATTAATATAAAAGATATTTAAATAGTAATAAAATATTTTCCTCTACTGCACCAGAGCCTAAAAATCAATTTTACAAGAAAATAGCAAAAAAAAAAAAATCCAAGAAACAGAATTCTCACCTTACAAGTTATTGCAGAAAATAGAAAAAGGAGAAAGATTTTAATTCATTTATATGAAAAAGTGAACCAGTAATTCAGCAAATTATAGTCTTTTTGTTTTATGAGTTGCAATGAAAAAGCCTTAAATATTTACTGAATCCAAGACCTTATTAAAAATAATACAATATGATTAAGGTAAACAATGTTAGGAAGGTATCATATTAACAATTGTATTAATTTTAGTAGCTTACTACTATAATGCAGTGAAGATAAAAGGAAGTGAACTATCTTAATAGATGCAGAAAAAAATAACAATAAATTTCAAAATATTCTAGATAAAAATTTTAAAATAAACTTGATAAAGACTATTTACTGAAAACCTACAGCAAACCTCATGCTTAAATGGAGATAATTTCTAAGCATTTTTCTATAGGACTGGGAGCAACACAAAGATGCCTACTATCATGACCACGTGTAATGTGTATTAGATGCTCTTGGCCAATGAAGTAAACATGAAAAATAAGTAAGAAGCATAAGTATTGAAAAGAAAAAAGAACAAAGTAATATTTATAGTTGACAAAAATCATTTACATAGAAAGCACAGTGGAATCAATAGGTAAACCAGTAGCTCTAATGAGAAAGTAAATATTTTGCTGCCACCACAGACTATTATAAAAGTAATAAAACATAAGATATAATTTATAACAACTGACAATAATTAGAAATTAATCTAACAGAATAGGGGTTGGGGATATAGCTCAGTTGGTAGAGTGCTTGCCTTGCATGCACAAGGCCTTGGGTTCAACCCCCAGCACTATAAAAAAAATAAATTAATAAAAATAAATTAATCTAACAGAATATATATGGTAAAAATTTGCARCTCCATTAAACAGCAAAACTTATGGCCCATGTAAGTGGTTATAGCATGTTTGTAATGGCCAGTGCACACTGAGGAGTATCATGTCTCAGTTAGAAGTACTRAATTAGATAGCTATAGTATGGAACAGGTCAGTGTTGCATTTAAAAAAAAAAAGGAATAACAGATTTGGAGCAATAGCACCATACCATGTACATAAATGCTAAATGTATGTGTCCATAGCCAATACTTTATAGTCTGCAGTGGTAATCCATGTCCAAAGTCTTATATCAAAATTATGGAGTTGGTTCCAGAGGGGGAGATCTTGGAATGGGAATTAGGGATGAAGGAAAAAAAAACTGCAATAAAACAAAAGAAAGTTGTTGTATGGGCTAATGGCAATTGTGAATTAACAATTAAAGTATGTGCTAAACTCAACTCTCCATACCAAAATAAAAAAACAGAAAGAAAGAAATAGATAGATAGATTTCCACTATAGTTATTAAAGAAGAGAATAGAATATAATTGTCCTTGATTTAGAAGTCTAATTTCTTAGCATTCCAGCAGTCTAATTTCTTTTCAGGACAGGAATCAACTCTCCAACATCCTTGGAATATATCATTGTCTACTTGAACCACAACACTGGGCAGACWGTAAGGTTGTAGGATAGACCCAGTGGGTTCAATGTTTTTATATTTGGCTAAAACTGCCCTCCTATAAACACCCAACGGTTGGTCCAAGTTCTTTGGCCTGTCATTGTATCCAGTGAGTCTGGATCATCTTTCAGAGCAGCATTTCAAACACTTGAAATAAATATTAATACTTTGGCTTTCCTCTTCCAGTCCCACATACCCAGATTTTTGAGTTGTTCTTCCTGTGATCAGTTCAGGATCTTCTAAAAAATGTCAGGGATTCACAGTGTGATGTTAACAYCAGCTATTAAATGTTGCTTGCTTATTTGAGAAATGTACTGGAAACTCACCAAGCATTGTGCAAGATGCTATGCATGGGTGCTTGACAAAAAGGAAATTGCTTCTAGGAGAGTTATAATTTAAAGATCTTGAAAGTTGTCTTGATATACTGGATTTTGAAATGTATAAAGCTCAAGAAAATACCTACTATCCAGAATGAGTAACCACATTTTATATACTGATTTATTCATTCATTTATTTGAGAACTATTCATTGAATATATTTTCTTTGCCAAGGATTRCTGTAGTCGCTGGAAACTGGAACGTGCTTCTTAATACCATAAAGAATGAATCAAAGTTCTAKAACTGAATCACAGGAAGCAGGCTTGCTTCTGGTGGCTTTTAYTGAACCAACCAGAAGAAATTGGCTCCTTCTGAACATGGCTGCATTTCACTTCTATACTTGGTCATAGCCTTGGATTGCTGTGACCCAGGAACTCATTACATAATGATTCACATTTGGGAACTCCAGCCACATGTCTGCTGCTCATGTCATCTGAAAATCTAGAATTCCTCTTTTTAATAATTTTGAAAGGATGGTCAAGGGTGAAATTAAATCACTGTGGTTTAAGGATGGGCATTGAACTTGGTACATTCCAAACTAACAAGGTTCTAACATTTTGAACTTGTAGAAAAATTCAAGAGACCTTAAAATCAATTCAGTCATCTCTTCAGAAATATGCTTCTAGTCAAAAATGTCTACGAATAAGGCAYAACTCTTTCAGCAAATATTTTTACACACTGTGGAGGATAAAAGGGAGACCCAAGCATGCTTTGATAATGCTTAGAACCTAGGTGGGAAATGGGATCACACATAGGAGAATATCTTTAAAGTATTTTTTTAAATATTTATTTTTTAGTTTTAGGTGGACACAATATCTTTATTTTTATTTTTATGTGGTGCCTCATACATGCTAGGCGAGCGCGCTACCACTTGAGCCACATCCCCAGCCCAGGAGAATATCTTTAAAATACCCACATATATCACTATACAGAGCATGGAAAGGGGCTACGGTTGTGAGCAGATACCTGTTAGGGAATTTTAAAATGGCTCCATTCTGACCACAGGTTTTCCTAACTTAAGATGGCTCCATKATACATGTGGAATTTAGGTTACGGTAAGCATGTTTATATTGCATTACAGGTTTAACTTTGATACAAAAGAAAACATAAATCCCTAAGTAAGGCAACYACAGAGAATATGTTGGCTGTGTGAGGAGATTGAGACCCTGATCCCTTACCGTACACWTTTCCAGCACTTCTGCATTCTCTAACTCCACTGAACACAACCAAGTTCTACAGAGAGACTAGGCCAGTGTGTATAACCCCTGCCCCTAACCCCAACTACTTTTTATTAATGAAGAAATAGACTGTGATTTTTGCAAAACCACAGTCACTGGACTGAARCTCAGGGTTCAGAACTCATTGCCAAGTGCCCTTTCCTCTGTATGAAGCTGACAGAAAGAGGATGTCAACTGTGATATAGTCCCTTTAACGAGTCAGGAAGAATAGGGTCAGGTGTCCCTTTCCAAGAAGTGAAGAGGGGCTTTAAGCCTTCTTGTAGTGTTCGTCTTGAAGGCAGGGATATGAGGAGTGATTTCTCTGAGGCTAATAGACAGAAGATCTTCAGTTACCCTGACTGGGAGACTCTGAATTGGCCACGAGAATTTGTCATTCCAGACCTCCGCTTGCAGGTGAAGCAGTTACCAACTGTGAGAGTTGTTGCCCCATCTCTTCTTTAATTTGCTTTGTCCAGAGTTCTTATCTTCACCTTTAAGGTAAGACATTCACATAGTCGTCATCATTGTTCTCTGGGGGAAAAAGCAAARGACCATCCATGAGACTTCATGCCCAGAAGCTATATTAACCAACCCCACTCAAGGGAAAGAAGACCAGCATTTTTCTTTTCTTTTTTTAAGAATGAACTTTTAAATAAATGATTCTAGGATCAATGGATATTTTCTTTTTATTTATTTTTTTAACTTTTTCCAAATTTTTATTGTTGTTTTATAGTGAAGCCACCTTGGGTTTTTTTTCTGTTTTGGGGAGAAGGGGGTATTATTGTTGTAGAGTTAAACATAACATACAATATAATTTGGCCAWTATCATTCTCCTCCCATTCCCCCTCTCCTGGTCACTTTTCTCTATTCTGTTGATCTCCCTTCAATGTTCATGACACACAGCAATCTTGGTGCCATATCAAAGTGACATCTTCAAATTGTGGGGGTACCACAGAGCTTTTCTGGAAAAATAGGGGGTTCCTTTATAAACCAAGCTTTAAAGTTTCCAGCACTAGATATCTGCATTCACCATGGAAAATGAGTGCCTTCATCAGAAGCTTGCTCTAAAGAGGCAAAGGCAACSGGAGGAGGAAAATAAGGTCAATGGGAGATATTTCCCTTTCTGTAGAGGAGTATTTGGGAGCTCACTCTGCAAGTACTGACCAAACATGGAGAACTGGTGGGGAGATTCTTGCCCAGGTCTTGGGGAATATATTTAAGTGATTCTTTCTCTTCTTGGGTTTTGTGACCCAAGGCTCTATCCTCTGTCCTCCCTGGCTAGCATATCTGATCTCACCACCATCACCTGCCCACTGGCAACKACATCACTTTCCATTGATAATGTAGCCATACATTTAACTRGAAAAGATCAGGATTAAATGTCTCTGGAAGTCAAATTCAAACTACATTGCAACTGAGAGGTACTAGATTCTRTTGAGAGCAAATCTTAAGGGTGAGGGTAAGCAATAGTGGCTGCTRGTGATAAGATTTRAGACTTCTCAGATAGATTRTYTGCTCTCAAATTTACCACTATGGTTTCATATCTTTAGGGATATATCTGAAATATTTGTCAGCTATCCCTTTATAAATGGATGCTTATTAAATTTTGGAAAAAAATGTAAGAGAATAAGTGTGAATGAGAGAGCTGAAGTGATTTTCTTATTGGAAAATCTGTCCACGTGTTCATTTATTCCCAAACTTGAGCAGATTGCATGAGGTCACAGAATGAATTCAAAGCCAGCCCAGTRCCCTCTCTTGCTATTTTGGCTGCCCAAACACAGCTGTCCACCACTTGTAGGGTCTGGAACACATTATTTTTCAATAAAATTGAAATTGCACTTAATAGGATGAAGCTTTTCAGAGGTAATGTCATGGGAAAGGGCATCTATTTGTATTGATTCTGCCAAGTAGGACATTGGTGGAAATAGGTTGAAGGCTCCTTTCTGATCCCACAGGAAAGCTTTTATCTTATATACCATCCAGTTTAACTTTCAATCTTCTCCTTCTTAAGCTGGGACTGCTTCTCTTTATTGGCTTTGAAAGGTGAACCGCCAGACCTTGGTTTGGCTTTTCAAACTTGGAGATCAATTCCTTTAGGCTTGGAAAGATCTGTTTTGGAGTACCTTCCAAAGTCTGCAAAAAAACAAGAAAGGAAGTCACTCATAATCTGCAATTGTGTGTGAATTGTGAAACTTCCTGAAATAGTGGTTCTCAGGGTTGCTTCTGAGAGTGGACAAACTGAAAACAAGAGGCCAACAGCTCATGTTTAAGAGCTCACACCAACTGTGATTCATAAAGACTGTGTTTCTGAGTCCAGCTCTGACTTGAGCTACTCTGAGTAAAGAGGATTTACAATCAAGAAACATGCAACTTGGACTGCAGTGTCAAGTCAGCCCTATCCTTGGCAAGTTTGTCTGGGGGCAATTCTTGTCGTAGATACACTGTAAAGGGGASTGCTCTAAGAGCTTATTTCAGACTTGTGCCCTACTGGCAAGCTTTGCTAGGGAACTAACTGAGGTGGACTTCTGATGGGAAATGCAAAACATGCAATTTACATACAGGATGAATTCAGAATCCCCCCAAAAGGTTGCAATTTAAATTGAAAGGAGGAACATCAACTTGACTCAGTAAAATTGTGAATAGTTGTTTTCTGTTTGTCAGCTGTAAACCAAATACTATTTTCTGATACAATCTTATAGAAATAATTTTWAAATAAAAAGAATTTGCTTCCTCTACCCTTATGTRTTTAGTTATCTTGATCACCACTGTGGTTATCATAGGACCACCGTGTTGGGCTACAAAGAAGGGTGTTAATCAGGTTTTCTGACATGCAGTGTAAAGATAMTGATGTAGGCTGACACTGAAGTTGTGTACAGGAGGTCTCCATAATACAGTCACTTCAACCCATCATCCACAGCAGGCCTCTGAAGACAGGGCTTTCCTCTTAGAATGCCTTCAGATGGTCACATCTTGGGTTCAAGAGATGATCTCAGGTTTTCCTCTAAAAGGTTTTGCCTTGATCTGCAGGAGTCCTTATGTATTCTCACCTGAATCTTGTAATACCCATGTCTCTCTCTGAAGATTCGGTATGTATAGACAAGATTTCTAAACCTGTGAAAAGATGACTGTATGAATCATAATGTTCTTAYATACAAAYCGAGGCAASATGTCTCATTAGATTTTTTRAGTTCTTTTTTWWWAAAAAWATATTTATTTATTTGTACTAATCAGTAATACAAGACAGCAGAATGTTCTTTGATTGATTGTACTCAAATAAATTGACTTCTCTGGTTGTATTCTCACCCGATTTTATATGCAATGCTTTTATCAGTCTTGGATCCTGAAAGAAACTGGTCAATATCAGACCCTCTCATCTGAAGGAATTTGAAAGACACAGGAGCTTTGAAATGGGGAGCTCTATTGTTAGGATGGAAGTCTTGACTCTGGCAAAGAGAATAAGGAGAGAGAAAATTTACAGCTCCAGTGGTCTTGGTGCTTCACCCTAGCTCTTTCACCTAGCTCTAGGTTGACAGAACATATAAAACACCATTGAGCTACGCCCATGCTATTTATCAATGATTTCTCATTGACTGCATTAGAGAATGTTGGGAATTTTGTCCAAGCAAGTGATGTAYTGTGCTCTTGTTTCTCATTGGAATAGGAGTCACTGGCTAATCATCTAATCATAATTTAGATTACGGACCCATTTTAGCAATTTTCCAAGCAAGAAATAAAATTCCATATTGAATTCTTCAATTCTAAGATGTTATCAATGGTAAGATACATTATTAATTTCTAATAGCTTTCCTGGAGAAGAGTACAAACACTAAATGTACCCGTCAACTATTGGACATATTCTGATTTCACAGAACATTACAATGTAAAAAAAAAAAATAATAGAATCAAAAACATTGAATGAGGCTCAAACTTCCT